CCCCCCAACATCATGCCACTCTCCTGGCTCTCCTGCTTATGTAACTCAGCTGTGAGATTGGGTGGGGAAGCACAGGAGACTTTACTAATTGGATGGAATCAGCCCTAGCTCCAGGAATAACCCAGATCTATGCAGGCCTCCAATAATTTCATGAAGCACAGCCCACAACAGATCTGGGTGCAAGGAGATAACGGGAGCCCCAACTCTATGGCACAGTCATGTGGTACAAATGCTTTTCACACAGGATGTGTTGCAAATGCAAACAGGCCCGGGATGTTTGTTTGTTTATCTAACGGGCAATAGGTTTGTCTGTAGGATGTTTGTTTCTTCATTTACATTGTTACATATTTAACAGACACTTTTGTATAAAGCAATTTATAACTGAGGCAAACCGCACATGTAACAGGCACTATGTTTATTAATCTGCAGGATGTTTATTTGTTTACTTAACAGGCACTATGTTTACTTGTCTGCGCTATGTGTGCTTTGTGTCTTTGCGCTCTGTTGTTTGTTGTTTGTTTTGTATTATATGTTTGTCTGCAGTTTACCTGCCTCTCTGCTCTATGTGCCACAATTTCCTCCTGGGATCAATAAAGTTTTTATCTTTATCTCATCTTATCAAAATTATCACCAGGGCTCACTAGTGAACTTTAATGCTGCCAAAGTGACCTCAGCAGCTGCAGGTCAGGATTTGGGTCACTATATGGCACTTTGGGGTATTTAATCCCAGTGGCACAACTGAACTAGAAGATGCTGAAAGTCAAACAGGAAGAAGGAAGAACAGCAGGACTGAATGACAATGAAAGAGCTCAAGGCAGCAGGCAGAGGGAAAGCAGCTCAGGCAGCCTCATGAGGTACCCAGTGTGAGCTGCGGATGGGTATAGAGCAGCCGCACCGGCAAGCCATGGCTTAATGCTGCCATTGAGGGTATGTCGGAATGTATTCCTCACTTAATTCCACATCATAACAACCCCGCCTTCTGTGACTCAGTTTTGTATGCATCTACAGCACTGGAATGCAGCCCAAAACCCCTATGAACTGGGAACAAGTTTACTCAGAACTCCGTGGGATTTTCCTTATCACAGAATAACAGCAAAAGTGCTGTGGTCTTTATTTCTGACGTCGTCCCTGGTTCTAAGGAGCACTCATATGGATATTATTTAGAATGACTGCACCCGTGATCAGCACCTAACTGGATGAGTATTGTGACGTAATTTGCTGCATGGTGATCCCTCCCCATACATAATCGTAAGTTCTGCTTTCTGAAAGGCATATCCCTCGTTCAAGCGGGAGATGGAGGAATGCGGTAATTTGCAGTCCAGCAATGCAGTCGGATACATTCTGCAGCAGAGGGTCACAATGCAGTCAGCCTCAATTTTTCATCAACAGAAGCTTTTGGAAGAACAGCTGTGTCTTAGATACACTAAGTTAACATCCAGATGATGGCAACTGTCCCCTAGGTACTCCATATGAAACCGATAACTGAAGCAGAGATAAGCAGGAGATATTCACTGAAACCGAGGCGATGAACAGATGATTTCAGCAGATATCAAAGTCCCCCGTATTTACAAAGAGAGCTTGGCTGAGAGCTTTGAACAGGAGCAAGAGGACAACGCAAACACTTCAAAGTTGATGACTATATTAAGCATATGTGAAACAGCACATGGCTCACTAAAGGAACAGAGAGAGCGTTCAATCTTCATAGACACCAAAACAAGGTGTCTCAGTAAAAACACCAAATTTCAGGTCATGACATTTCAGCAACCAGACGTGGATAGTTTAACTCTGATATAACCCAATGGAGACATACCCTGTAATTCCAACAGGGGTGCAAACCTTTAAAGACGATGTAACACGCTCAGTGCCATTATTGATACCTCCACAGGGATCAAAACGTGACAGATCTTCACAGGAAACAAAGCTATTTTCTGATGACACAAGTGAGCACTACCGTTGTATCTGACATGAGAAGCCATGAAAAACTTGTAACTTGAGAGTATGACTGCCAAAACAAATTATGAGCCGGAATCAATCTCCAAACAGATCTTAGCTAAGCTAGCAATCTACCACTATTACATGAAAACAGACTCATTGAATGGCATCAATAAATTTCAAGCTGTCCAGTCTCAGTGCAGTGCATAAGAAGCACTTTGGGTTACCGGTGTCTACCAGGTCTATCATTTGACCATAATATTACCATATGAGGCAAACATACAAAGTCTAGGATTCCAAAAAGGAAGGCGAAACAGAAGACAGTGAATTACAGACTCAAGTGTCATGCTGTTGTCGTAAGCAGGACCACAAACATGAGAAGTGTGCTGAAAGGGACCTTGGCATTCTTTAGTCAACCTGTAGAATGAGGATGCACTTTCAGAAGCATAAAACAAGCCACGAGCCAAGTGAAAGCCTAGGCATACAGTGCACACCAGAATCTCATGGCAGGCTCCAAAAACAAGGCTTCTCGAAAAGAAAATCAATTCAATATAAAACATTACACAATGAACTTAAGCAGGAAAAGCAGAAGGAAGATGGAGGGACGGATAAGACATTACATAGGCCCATTAATTATCATTTTGAGGCTAATAATCATTATTTTGGAATTCAACTTAATACTAGTATTTTGATAGTGATATTTTGTAGATAATGAAACATTATGAAACTATTAAAAATAAACAGCTTTGTGTAACTGCATAGCGTTTTCCCACTATCATTAATTGCAAAGCATTTGTCTGCTATTATTAATTGAAAAAAATGTAGTTGCATTACCTTTGTGATGTGAGGCATGGGGTTAAATCCACAGAGGTTGCACACAGTGTTTTTGCATTCCGTGCAGGTATCATAATTGGGAGGATCCTTGGAGCCCATGTTGAGTGCCACCTTGCAGAGCGGACAGTTGGACGGTGAGGATTTAGGAGGTGGAGCAGAGGTTGTAGATACATTTGAGCGTTCTGCCAGAGGTTTGTCCACTTTCTCCTGAAGGGGTTTCTTTTCCTTGGGAGGTGCACCCTTACCCTGTAGGGAAGATGGAGGTGCATTTGAGGAGGCCTGGGCTGGTTGCTCATCCTGAACAGCAGAGGAGATCAGGTTGGAAGCAGAGCTGAAAATGGAAGAGCCAAAGCCAAACATCTTTCCTGACACAGAGTCAGAAGTCTGTGGTGCAGTAGGTCGAGTCTTGTGTGACTCTGTGATGCCACCAAACCCTAATAATTTCCCAGTGACTGGCTCTGCAGCCGATTGTTGGGAAGCAGGTTGAGGCTTAGGTGACTCTTTGCTGGCACCGAATCCAAAAAATTTTGCTGTGACTGACTCTGCAGCTGATTGGGGGGCAGTAGACTGAGATTTTGAAGACTCAGTTGTGCCTCCAAACCCAAACAACTTCCCAGTGGTCGACTCTGCAGCTGGCTGTGGGGATGTGGGTTGGGTTTTTAGTGTCTCAGTGGTACTTCCAAACAACTTCCCAGTGACTGACTTTGCAGCTGGCTGTGGGGTAATCGGCTGAATTTTTGAAGACTCCACAGTGCCTCCAAACAACTTCCCAGTGACTCCCTCTGCTGCCGATTGAGTGTCACTGGGCTGAGTTTTTGGCAATTCCTTGTTGCCAGCGAATCCAAACAATTTCCCTGTGACAGTCTCTGCAGCTGACTGAGGGGCAGTGGGTTGAGTTTTTGGTGTCTCAGTGGTGCCTCCAAACCACTTCCCAGTGATTGATTCTGCAGCTGACTGTGGGGCAGTGGGTTGAGTTTTTGATGACTCAGTGGTGCCTCCAAACAACTTCCCAGTAATCGACTCTGCAGCTGACTGGGGGGCAGTGGCCTGAGTTTTTGCAGACTCTGTGGTGCCTGCAAACCCAAATAACTTTCCAGTGATTGACTCTGCAACTTGCTGTGAGTCAGTGGGCTGAGTTTTTTGTGATTCCTTAGTGGCACCAAACCCAGACAACTTGCTGGTGATCGACTCTGCAGCCAGCTGTGGGGCAGTGGGCTCAGTTTGCGCAGACTCCATGGTGCCTTCAAACAACTTCCCTGTGACTGACTCTGCAGATGGCTGTGGGGAAGTGGTCTTTGGGGACTCTGTGGTACCTCCAAATAATTTCCCTTTGACTGACGCTGCAACCGATTGTGATTCAGAGAGCTGAGTTTTTGGTGATTCCTTAGTACCACTGAATCCAAAAAGCTTCCCGGTGACTGAATCTGCAACAGACTGTGAGTCCATGGGCTGAGTTTTTGATTCTTTTGTGCTACCAAACCCAAAAAACTTCCCAGTGATGGACTCTGCAACTGATTGTGAGTCACTGGGCTGAGATTTTGATGACTCCTTGGTGCCACCAAATCCAAACAATTTCCCAGTAACAGACTCTGCGGTTGACTGTGGGACAGTTGATTGAGTTTTAAGTAGCTCAGTGGTGCCTCCAAACAATTTCCCGGTGACTGACTCTGCAGATGAATGTGGGACAGTGGGGTGAGTGTTTGGAGACTCTGTAGTGCTTCTAAACAAGTTCCCTGTGATCGACTCTGAAGCTGACTCTGAGGCTGTGGGTTGAGTTTTTGGGGACTCTGTAGTGACTCCAAACCCAAATAACCTCCCAGTGACTGACTCTGCAACTGATTGTGAGTCACTGGGCTGAGTTATTGATGACTCCTTTGTGCCACCAAATCCAAACAATTTCCCTGTGACAGACTCTGCTGCTGATTGTGGGGCAGTGGGTTGAGTTTTTAGTGTCTCAGTGGTGCCTCCAAATAACTTCCCAGTGACTGACTCGGCAGCTGGCTGTGGGGCAGTTGGCTGAATTTTTGAGGACTCCACGGTGCCTCCAAACAACTTCCCAGTGACTGCCTCTGCCGCCGATTGTGCATCACTGGGCTGAGTTTTTGGCGATTCCTTAGTGCCAGCAAATCCAAAGAATTTCCCAGTGACAGTCTCTGCAGCTGACTGAGGGGCAGTGGGTTGAGTTTTTGGTGTCTCAGTGGTGCCTCCAAACAATTTCCCAGTGACAGACTCTGCAGCTGACTGAGGGGCAGTGGGTTGAGTTTTTGGGGATTCTGTGGTGCCTCCAAGCCCAAACAACTTCCCAGTGACTGACTCTGCCACCGATTGTGATTCACTAGGCTGAGATTTAGGTGATTCCTTTGTGTCACTGAATCCAAACAATTTCCCAGTGACAGACTCTGCAGCTGACTGAGGGGCAGTGGGTTGAGTTTTTGGGGATTCTGTGGTGCCTCCAAGCCCAAACAACTTCCCAGTGATTGACTCTGCAGCTGACTGTGGGGTTGTGGATTGAGTTTTTGAGGATTCTGTGGTGCCTCCAAACCCAAAGAACTTCCCAGTCACTGACTCTGCAACTGATTGTGAGTCACTGAGCTGAGTTTTTGGAGATTCCTTGGTGTTGCCGAATCCAAACAATTTCCCAGTGACAAACTCAGAAGCAGACTGTGGGGTAGTGGGTTGAGTGTTTGGGGACTCTGTAGTGCTTCCAAACAACTTCCCAGTGATTGACTCTGCAGCTGATTGTGGGGCGGTGGATTGAGTTTTTGGGGATTCTGTGGTGCCTCCAAACCCAAACAACTTCCCAGTGGCCGACTCTGCAACTGATTGTGAGTCATTGGGCTTAATTTTTGGCAATTCCTTAGTGCCACCAAATCCAAACAACTTTCCGGTGACCGACTCTGCGACCGACTGCGGGGCACTGGGTTGAGTTGCTGAAGACTCAGCGATGCCTCCAAACAACTTTCCAGTACCAGACTGTACAGCCAACTTTGAATCAGAAGGCTCATCAGTGGTGTCTGTAAACAAGTTTCTGGTACCTAACTCTACAGCTGAAGATGAGGCAATAGGCTGAGTTTCTTGGGACTCCATGGTGCCACTGAACCCAGATATCTTTCCACTTTCTGACTCTCTAGCTGAATCTTGGGTAGTAGACTGAGTATTTGGGGGCTCTGTGGTGCCTCTAAACAATGTTCCAGTAACTAGCTCTGTATCTGACTCTGGGACAATAGGGTCAGTATTTGGGGACTCCGTGGTGCCACCAAGCAAAACTTCAGGAACTAGCTCTGTAGCAATAAGCTCAGTATTTGGGGACTCCATGGTGCCTCCAAACAACATCCCGGTAACTAGTTCTGTAGCTGACTCTGTGACAATAGGCTCAGTATTTGGGGACTCCGTGGTGTCTCCAAACAACACCTTGGTAACTAGCTCTGTAGCTGACTCTGTAACAATAGGCTCAGTATTTGGGGACTCCGTGGTGCTACCAAGCAACACGTCGGTAACTAGCTCTGTAGCTGACTCTGTGACAATAGACTCAGTATTTGGGGACTCCGTGGTGCCTCCAAACAACACCTTGGTAACTAGATCTGTAGCTGGTTCTGTGGCAATAGGCTCAGTATTTGGGGACTCCGTGGTGCCTCCAAACAACACCTCGGTAACTAGATCTGTAGCTGGTTCTAGGTCAATAGGCTGAGCATTTTGGGACTCCATGGTGCCACCAAGCAACACCTCGGTAACTAGCTGTGTAGCTGACTCCCGGGTAGTTTGTTGAGTATTTGGGGAATCCGTAGTACCTCCAAACAACAGCCCAGTGACTGACTCTGTAGCTGATTCTGGGACAGCAGGCTGAGTATTTGGAGACTCCATGGTGCCTCCAAACAGCATACCGGTAACTGACTCTACAGCTAACCGTGGGGTAGTGGGCTGAATTTCTGGGTATTCCATGGTGTCACTGAACCCAGACAACTTTCCACTGACTGACTCAGCAGCCAACTGTGATTTAGTGGGCTGAGATGTTGATGATTCAGTGAGTCCACCTTTTCCTGACAACTTTCCAGTGACTGACTCTGCGGCTAACTCTGGGGTAGTAAGCTGAGTTTTTGCAGACTCTCTGGGGCCACCAAACCCAAGCAACTTCCCAGTTATTGCCTCTGCAGCTGACTGGGGGGCAGTGGGTTCAGTTTTTGGGGACTCTATGGTGCCTCCAAACCCAAACAACTTCCCAGTGATTGATTCTGTTGTTGGCTGTGGGGTAGCAGGTTGAGGTTTGGGTGATTCTTTGCTGCCACTAAACCCAAACAATTTTCCTGTGATCGACCCTACAGCTGACTCTGAGGCAGTGGGCTGAATTTTAGGGGACTCTGTGGTGCCTCCAAATCCAAACAATTTCCCAGTGAATGACTCTGCAACCGATTGTGAGTCACTGGGCTGAATTTTCGGCGATTCCTTAGTGCCACTGAATCCAAACAATTTCCCACCAACAGACTCTGCAGTTGACTGTGGGGCAGTGGGCTGAGTTTTTGGTGTCTCAGTGGTGCCTCCAGACAACTTCTCAGTGATTGACTCTGAGGCTGACTGTGAGGCAGTGGGCTGAGTCTTTGGGGACTCCGTAGTGCTTCCAAACAACTTCCCAGTGATCAACTCTGCAGCTGACTGTTGAGCAGTGGGCTGAGTTTTTGTGGTCTCTGTGATGCCTCCAAACCCAAACAATTTCCCAGTGACTGACTCTGCAGTTGACTGTTGAGCAGTGGGCTGAGTTTTTGGGGACTCCGTATTGCTTCCAAACAACTTCCCAGTGATCGACTCTGCAGCTGACTGTTGGCCAGTGGGCAGAATTTTTGGGGACTCTGTGGTGCCTCCAAATCCAAACAATTTCCCCGTGACTGACTCTGCAAGCGATTGTGAGTCACTGGGCTGAGTTTTTGGAGATTCCTTGGTGCCACTGAGTCCAAACAATTTCCCAGCAACAGACTCTGCAGCTGACTGTGGGGCAGTGGGCTGAGTTTTTGGTGTCTCAGTGGTGCCTCCAAACAACTTCTCAGTTATTGACTCTGCAGCTGTCTGTGGGGCAGTGGGCTGAGTTTTTGGTGTCTCAGTGGTGCCTCCAAACAACTTCCCAGTGATTGACTCTGCAGCTGATTTTTGCCCAGTCGGCTGCGTTTTTGGGGACTCTGTGGTGCCTCCAAACCCAAACAATTTTCCAGTGATCGACTCTGCAGCTGGCTCTGGTGCAGTGGGCTGAGTTTTAGGGGACTCCGTAGTGCTTCCAAACAACTTCCCAGTGATTGACTCTGCAGCTGACTGTGGGGCAGTGGGCTGAGTTTTTGGGGTCTCTGTAGTGCCTCCAAACCCAAACAATTTTCCAGTTATCGACTCTGTAGCTGACTGCGAGGCATTGGCCTGAGTTTTGGGGAACTCTGCGGTTCCTCCAAACCCAAACAACTTCCCAGTAACTGACTCTGCAGCTGGCTCTGGGGCAGTGGGCTGAGTTTTTGGGGACTCTGTGGTTCCTCCAAACCCAAACAACTTCCCAGTGACTGACTCTGCAACCGGCTGTGGGGCAGTGGGCTGAGGTTTGGGTGACTCTGTGAAACCAGCAAACCCAAACAACTTCCCGGTTACTGACTCAGCAGGCGGCTGTGGGGCAGTGAACTGTTTGGATGCCTCAGTCAAACCACCAAAACTCAGACCAAAGAAACCAGACTCCTCCTTAGGAGGCGGAGCCTGTGGTGGAGGTGTAGATTTGGCAGGAGGACCCTGGCCGCCCTTTGGCAACTGTTGAAATTTCCCTGGGTCCTGCAATGGATGGCCTGCCTTGGGATCTACTTTTGGCATCCCACTTGGGGCCTCCGCTGCCGGGTGCTGGCCTGGTGACTGCTGTGGCTGTAAAGGCTTGGTATGGTCCTTAGCTGAGGCTGGTGCTGGCAGCTGGGGATCTAGCTTCTTCCCAGCTGGAGTTTGGTCTGCTGGTTTCTTAGATTTGGAAGGGTCCAACTCAGTGGAAACAGACCCTTTCCGTGCTCTTGGAGATCCTGGCTGCCCCGGCTGTGTTAAGACTTCCTGCTTAGCCAGCGAGGGCTTTTCGCTATCTGTGGTCTTGCCAGGTTCTGGCTTTACAGCCTGCTCCATTACAGGGGCTTGCTTGATGGTGGTGGAGGCCAATGCAGAGGTCTGCTTGGGAGGCTGTTGCTGAGCCTTCATTGGAGGTGGGCCTGGAGGTTCCATACCTCCGAGAGCTCTCTGCATCTGGCAGTTGAGACAGAGCCACTCCTTAACCTGCAAAAGTACACCGCAATTTTATAGTCAGTGAAACAGGTAGTACAGTGGCCTCCACACCCACAATCCAGAGAAACAATTTCAATTTACACACTGGCACTTGATAAGACAGCATCTTCCAATGGATCGCAATCTTCACACAAACTATTATTTCTTATCAGCCTGAAGCCATAACTACACTTATTATGAATTTACGACCTCATTACATCTGCAGTGACTAGGGAGTACTGATGTGATTAGTGTATCAGGGGAAATCGCACTTCAGAGATGCACCAGCCAGAGTAGGCTGCCTGGTCACCAGCAATGAAACAGTCTCTCATGAATGATGGTTGTTCATCTACGTTGAAAGGCAACAGATTTGATTCACTCATTCCCTCATCCTGCGTTTTACAGCCACTCATGTGCATCTTGGTACCCATGCCTGCTCAGACTTTGCTGATGTACAATAAAAGATAAGGGGGGGGGGGGGCACCAGGACCAAATTAAACAAGCAAGCTAAAAATCTGGGCCATTGCACATTGAAATTATGCGGCTCTCGTGACGTACACTCATTTCTATTAAGACATTTTTCATTGCAATACAAAATATTATTAATATTTTAATTATTTTCATAATTAGCTTTCATGTAAAAAAACAAGCCTATATTTGTGTTTTGTATTTTCTATCAACATTTACTGGTAAAGGACAAAAAATTGTAAACTATGCTGCAAGGACCTAAAAGTAGTGGCAGTGTTTACCGGCACCCAAGCCATGCATTTATCTGGGCCCCCGAGGTCTGGAGGCACCCTGTTGGCCACAAACAGTCACTAAATATTTAACACATTCCTTATTTAGGAGATACTTAAGCAGCATGTTCTGCTGACCAGCTATCTAGCCATCTTCTCTCTCTCTACTCTATGCTACTCAGGCAGTATTCACAGTAAATCAGTTGTACTCAGGCAGCATTTACAGCAAATCGGCTATACTCAGGTAGTATTCACAGTTAATTTGCCCTACATAGGCAGTATTCACAGTAAATCAGTTGTACTCAGGCTGTATTCACAGTAAATCAGCTGTACTCAGGCAGTATTCACAGTAAGTCAGTTGTACTCAGGCAGCATTCACAGCAAATCGGCTACACTAAGGCAGTATTCACAGTAAATTAGCCCTACATAGGCAGTATTCACAGTAAATCAGTTGTACTCAGGCAGTATTCACAGTAAGTAAAATTAAAGTCAAACATCCAAACATGTTGTGCTAATGATGCGCCAATGATGCTTCGCCTCAGCAGCACATAAAGAAAAGGTGCTCAGGGGACGCAAGGAGACAACAGGCCCAAAATGCAAAGACCATTACCCCAATGTAGGAGCCAGTATTCAAGTAGTAGTAGTAGTAGTAGTAGTAATAATACTAATACTAATACTAATACTAATAATAATACTAATAATAATAAGAAGAAGAAGACGAAGAAGAATAGGAAGAGTGACAGCAATAATAATGTAGACATCTGGGGCTAGCATCACAAAACAAGATTTCCTGTGTAGCTGGATAACATCAGATTTAAGGTAGTCAGAGCTAAATGGAAGTGAATAAAGATAAAGTCCATGTAAACTAGGGTACCTTAAATCAGACAAGTAATCCGGCTAAGCAAGAAATGCAGCATTGTGATACAGGCCCCTGATTTTCTCAAGAGAGCAACTTGCAACATCCAGTTTAACCAGCTTAGATTTCCGTACTGGTATGTGAGATGTTGCCCCCCACAGTGCTCTGACTTTCCTGGGACACCCCCAACCTGGCTTGACGTACTGGCGCTTTAAGGCTCTTACCGCGGAGCCAGGAGGGCTGAAGCCACACAGGCTGCACACCACGGCCTGACACTGCGTGCAGGTGCTGTGGTTGGGCTCTTCCTGCGTGTGCAGGTTCAGCTGGGTGGACTTGCAGATGGGGCAAACCGACGGCCCTGGTGGTTGTGGCCCTGCGCCGGCTGGCCCCGCCGGGGGGGGACCAGGGCCTTGCTGCTTATCCTTGAGCTGTTCAGTTCCATCTTTGCTGGCTCCTGGCTTCTTGGGCCCAGTCCTTCTGGGGGAGCCCTGCTGTGGGGCCTGCTGCTGATGAGGCTTCGGATCAGCCTTCTGCTTCATCCCGCCTTCTTCATCCTTGGCCTCCTTCTGCGCCTCCTCATCCCCAAACAGGCTGAGCTTATTCACTGCGGACGACATGGCGCTGAGGGGGTTGGCCCCACTCAGGAAATTTGAGGAAAACATGGTTTTCCTGGGTTCCTCACGCCCTTGTGGATCAGAACGCGACTCCAAAACCGTGACAGATGAAGGACTCCTCCCCGGCGAGCCCTGCCTGGCTGCTAGACCTGACCTCAAGGCATCGATTGTCTGACTTTTACTGATCCCAGAAGGCCCTGGGGCAGGTGCACGTCCAGGGAGCTGGGCTCGGTGTGTTACGTCTGCATCTGACTCCCTGAAAGGACAGAAGAACAGAAAGCCCCCGTGTCATTAGTGACAGGCTGAGACACACTTCAAAGCTTCAAAACCTTAAAACACTGCAAGTGCTTCTCTAGCCTAACATTTAACAACGAATGACATTTTACACACAACATTTCAACAGAAATTAAGATCAGTAGGTAACACTACTTTCCCAAATTCCCTACAATGATTCTAAAGCGCCATATTAAAGTAAGTGGAACTCCCCCAATTAACCTCATTCTGCCGGCCTCATTTCTTGCCTATATATAATCTATATTTTTAAGTTATATTATATTTGCATGTGTTTCAGTAATTTAAGGTTTCTGTGTCACCATAGCACATGCTATAGTGGGTCTGAATCCCCGCCCAGTTCTGCTTCACAGAACCTGCCACGGGTCACTTCCGCGAGAGAGTGTGTGCCGTCACCTTCACTGAGAAATCCCTAGATGACTGAAAATACACAGCATGGCTCTTGGACACCACACAGGCTTATCGAAATATGGCAGCTGTGAAGGAGAGGCCAGCTTACAGGTTAACTGCACACCGGAAGCCTCCGGCTGTTTTTAGCCTCTGCCTTCAACCCCACAGACAGCCACTCCAGCTCAGAGAAAGGCTATTGATCCTTGGCTGCCAGGAGAAGCTCAGTGTTTGCCACACGGACGGTAATACAAGCTGAAGATACGTCCACAGGAGGTCATTCCATGGATGCAGCAATCTGCATACACACGCAAACTTCCCGAAGTGAAAACCCCAGCATTTCAATGACAGACCGACGCTACATCTCGCAGCCCTGCTACGAGCCGCTAATCCATGCAGGTTGAAGTTATGCGCACCATATGAGCCGGATCGGTGCTCTTTTACCCCACACACGTCTTACTCAATCTCTCATAAAATCATTTTGCCCCACATCCGTGAAAAATATGCCGTTTTTCACGCAGAACGACTCAAGTCCACGCAAATGCATTTTTACGTCGCCTAAACTTGACCGTCTTTTTGCATCTGGCTAATTCAGCATGTTTATTTGGGAGAATATAAACACACCATATATACATTCTATTCTACATGCACTACACTCTATATAGGCTACATTATACCCCACATATTCACCATACTCAAAATGCATTTTACTCCAGATGCAATGCAGACGGATGATAAAAGAAAATCGCAGGCGTCTGCCCTGAACCCTAATCTCCCTATGAAAGGATGTGAATTGCATCGTCTGTCAGTTTCGGTAATTTACTGCTTCCCAGAGGCAGCCCCCTTCCCCCCGATTGCCGCACTGGGGATACAGCGCGGCGATCAGCACCGATCCCTCGCCCGGGCTCCCGTGTCAGGTAAATAGGGGGACGTAAATGGGTGCCACCGCGTAAGGGTGTGAGCTCCTGCCCTGCCAGAGGGGGACGAGGCGACATGCCTGTGCGGCGGGCAGCTCCGTGCCGCCGCGGTTCGCCTCCCGTCCTCCGCGATCGCCTCCGCTCCTGCGGGGATGTGATCAGAGCCCCCGCTGCCTCCCGGTAATCCGGGGAGATCCCCTTCCCCGCCCTCTGCGCTCGTTTCGTTGCCCATGCCAGGTCCCTTTTAAAAGGACACGCCGGTGGCCGTCCCCCGGTGCACCGATGCGGTGGCGCCGCTCCGCCCGCCGTGCATCCTAAGGTACCCGCCGATGCATCTCCGGCAGGCTCCCGCACCGCTTCTGATGTGCATGGAGGTTACGGAGCCTGTCCCAGTCCCCAGCACCGCGCATGATCCGCCTCAGACGGACGGCCGCTTTAAAGGGACATTTCGCTAAAAAAAAAAAAAAAACCTGCAGCGGATGCGCCGTGACACCTGCCTGTATACGAGAGAAATAACTAACCACGCCAGAAATTCAATGAAATTGCGTCAAATGCAACTACACGGTCTTCTTTGTCACGATCCGATCCAATAGCGGTTAAATCTGGCGGACAAATATCCTAAAATTCTCTTTCATTGAATTTTATTATATACATATTTTATGCTCCCCTCCCTTTCCTCTTCTCAGTGATTCTTATGAGACCGGTTTAGCCCATTCTTCCTCCAAAATTTGCCTGTAAATGAACAGCAGGTTTGGATGATACAGAGAGGATACAGAGACACAGAAACAGCTTAGAACACACACATAAACGGAGTTCATGGGTAAGGACTCCAGTTGAAATCACTGGCCAGCCACTAACAAGACTGTCTAGCAGTGATGCAAGCCTTCAGATGGCGTTAATATGCTGGGACCTGCAGGACATTTTCAGATACCCACACCCAGGGGCGCCGTAAGGGGGAGGAAAGCTAGGACGATTCCAAGGGCCCCTGAGTGACAGGGGCCCTAAAAAATTAGGAAAATAACTGGATTGGTTTGGACTGGGGGGCCTAATATGATATGCTTTCATGGGGCCCAAAATCTCTAGCAACCCCCCTGCCCACACCCAGCTGCGCAGGGAAACGCCAGTTAACCTGGCAGCTGAGCTGAATAGGTGCATTTCAGCAGAGTGGTCTACAAACTGCGATGCAGACTGCCCCCCAGGACCAGACCTGGGGAACCCTAATATACAGGTATACAGCAGCATGCGATAATGTTCCCCCTGGATCAGGGGGGCGACACGCAGACAGTGAGTGACAGGGGAGGGTTTTCACCCCTGTAAAGTACAATAACACAGCACAGTATGGGGGGTGGAGACAACGGGTAAAGTAAAGAGCAAGTTAAAGTAAATCCCAGTGGACTGTTATACACTATAATAGACCTTAGGGCTGCTCACAACTCAGAGCACCATTTTGAAATTTGTGTATATAATCACTAGATTTGACTCCTACAGTTGTAAAAAAAATTATTGTACAATGATTTTTGCCAGTTTTTAACTTTAAAATGTTATTATACTGCACACTATTAATATTCCACCTTGCAGTTTATTATTTTACTATTCTGAGGTATATTTTTATTTTACTTATTGTTTACTCATTCTTATAACACTTCTGTCTGTCCTGTATCACGCTGCCATCTGTCCTGCTGTCCTCTAATGCACCTGTCCCCTCCCCTATAACTCACTGTGCTCCTCCGAACACGTGACAATAAAGCTTGGAATCTCGTCTCAGCACCACTGTTTTTAGCTTTAAGGCATCCAGCACATGCTGCCCACAGCTCAGAGTGGAGTGACCTGGCAGCCATACCTGCTGCTTTATTACAGCCACCCAGGTCAGACAGCAGGCCATAATCCACTTAGTTTAATGCCAGCCTTTGGAGAAAATGTTAGGACGCTGAGCTGGGACCCTTAAACTAAGTCTAGCTGCATGATCAGGATGATTATCCAGTAGGCAGTCCAATGAAGGAGAGCTAAGCGAGACACTGGTGGCAAGGAAGCCTCGCACTTCAGTCGTCACTCTCATAAAGCTGTAAGTTCAGCTGACAGGGACATCGCCCCCTAGTGAAGGGGCCCGATGACTACAGGAATCCTCCTTCAGCTAACACACCACTCTGTACACTTCAGACCATTCCACTGTTTAATTTCCTCCTCATTTAACAGTTACTGATATCCTTGCATGTCTATTTTAACAGTCATATTTTACAGTTTTGTTTTTATCTTATTTATTATTATATTTTATGCTGTTTTATTTGCATTTCGTGTTTCCGTTCAACCACAATCCTTAACTGCTCACATGTACAGTGTATGTTTGTGTATGTGACAAAACTTTAAAGAGGAGCCAAACTAAACTGAATCTGGCATTGCCTGAAGAAAATGAAACAAAGATGGCACAATAAAGCATTGAAGTGTTATAACTTTCAGTTATATCCTGCCAACATTACATAGCATCAAAATATGCAAACGCAAGTATTTCTGTCCAAAGAAGAAAACATCGAAAAGTCATTCTTCATGATTGTCTTTCACTGCTGGCCCCGCAGATACAGAAACAGCAGCCCCCTCAGTACAGGATGCCAAGAAACTGCCACTGATGAGCTTTTCGCCAGTAAGCTGACAGCTATTAAAGAAAAAAAAGGCAGTGTATTAACCCAAAAGCCCTGACTGATCACAGCATTGCTAGAGAGAAATCCCTAACAGGAAGCGTGGGATCTGCAAGCCCTGCCTCCCCATATGACGTCACGGTACTCCTGTGAGTCGCGCGGGTGGTTAGAGCTGCGCGCCGTGCTGCACCGTCAGACCGTGCTTCCAATCCAGAAGTATAGTATGTAGAAGATACGGGATGCAGCAGCATAGCTTTGATAGAAGAACTTACAGTCCGCCTTGTATACGGAGATCATCAGTGATTAATCGCGTTTACAACTGAAAAGATATTACTGAATAAAATACTATTCATTAATTATTTCTTTTCAGTAATATTAATACATTTTTTTCATTCAAGCCTAGTGTGTTTAAGTAGCTCTTTCACAGGACTATTTCAAGTACTTTCTCAGACAACTACTAAAGGGAAACACCTTTAAAGAACATCCACACGTAGGTCGGGCAGGTCACCCCCATGCTCTGCTCAAGTGTGTCTAACCACTGACTTCGTCACGGCTCCTACTATGATCAATAAGCAATTGGGTACGTTATTTATCGTCTGCTCATGTAAGAATTAAGATTCATTCTCCAAAGACATTAATAGTTAGCGGTCCTAAACGGTTTTTTTAATAAGCTGCGCGGTCAACATTTAAAACCATATATAAATCATATGTAATATGTATCAAAAGAGAGCACACCTGTTGGCTTGCGAGGACAGTGCAGGTAGTCTTTATGTCTGCAGAGCAAGGTCAGGCCGTAATGAATACAGTAACCCGATATAACTGGCTCTGCCAGCTTCATTAAATTTAAATAGTCACCTGCGTGGAAAAAAACCCTCCATAAGGAGATATATATGTGACTTAAAGATTATAGCAGTAGGAGAGTTTGAAAAGCCGCAAAAAGCGCATAATTGTTAAATATGCATATTCACAGTCGGACGTGCAGAGCGACCTCTAGGTTCGCAGAGATATAAAAAGTCACCCACCTTGAATGTGATAACGCGTCCACCTATCACATCGTCAGCAGCCTCCCCTCTGCGTACAGCTGCCACACTCTATCTGCCCAGCACACGTCCGTTTCACGCCACCATCAGCAGACCGCCGTAAAGTTCCCCTTAAAGCCGCAGTGTCCCTGCTCCGCACGCCACCGCTCTGGCGTCACTCACCCCCTAAGCCGCTTGATACGTTGGGAGCACAGTCGGACAGGATCAGCCGGCTGCCTTGTCCTATTTGCCAGAGGGCTGGTCGCTAAGGAGACACGTGACTGTCGTTCATCTGAGATCCTACAGCGGATGCGTTTGAGATACTGCAGCAGATCTCAAATCGTGCACCTGACCAAGCATTAGAGATCCTGCACCAGAAGTATCTGAGATCCTGCAGCACACAAAGCATGTGAGATCCTGCAGCAGAGGAAGCATGTGAGATCCTGCATGTGAGATCCTGCACGTGAGATCCTGCAGCAGATGAACACCTGATTCTACTGAGCTGCAAACCTCTGTCATTTGACAACAAATGATGGCAAATTTTACACATGCAGGCTGGAAAGTTACTAGACATTTAAAGGTACAAGTGTATATTTAAGATCAAATCATACACTGTATAGTAGTTTCTTTAAGCTTTGTTAATATTTTTGTATTTTATTTGCTTCTGCTTAATTTCTCATCAAATTACCAATATAAAAATAATTCATTAAATTTCCTTAATTTACTGCAGGGGCACTGCATGTTGGCTGACCCCGGGCTGCGACCCCCAAGTTTGCTCTCACCTGTATTTGAGTTTGTGTGTCTCATGGAGAGCATGATGGTGTAGATGAAGACAGAATTTCCCCATGGGCATGAATAACCTATCAAATCCTGTCCTGTCTTATCTTATGCTGTCCTGTCCTGTCCTATCTTATGCTGTCCTGTCCTGTCCTATCTTATGCTGTCCTGTCCTATCCTATCCTATCCTATGCTGTCCTGTCCTGTCCTGTCCTATCTTATGCTGTCCTGTCCTGTCCTATCCTATGCTGTCCTGTCCTGTCCTGTCCTGTTCCATGAGTGTTTACTTGAAGCCTGGGACCCACAGGTGGGAATGCTGTTCACTGCATTATGAACTTTATTGGTCATGGTTGATCAGCTCACTCCACCATCTCCCCTCCCATCATCATGCAAAAATTGATCACAGCTTCATAATGCTGTTTAAAGCAGGGCTATTCAAATCACGGTCCTTAAGGTCTGAGCACTGCTAATTTTCCAGCTTTCCTTTACCTGTCAGTCAGGTGTGAAGCCTCTGACCAATCAGCATCAGTAATTATTAAACTATCTACCTGAGAGAACTGAAAAAATGGCCTGGATTTGGAATCGAGGGCCAGATTTAAAGAACCCTGGTATAAAGTAATGTCTAAACAGGCCTAAAACCCGATCCTTGCTGCTAAAGGACTTCTAAAGCAATTTCAGATTCCTCGTGGGAGATCTAGTTAGTCGATTAAAGCGTAGGACACGGTGACGACGGATCGTCTCATCTCACAGGATTTTGGTGGTGGACAGGGTACAGCCATAATTAATCATTACTTTCATCACTATTTGCTACTCCACAGGTTCACACAAGGTGATGCAGTGAAAAGGAAGTTTAATGGAAATAGCTGGGCCTTTTAAAAGAATGAGTATTTAAAGACAATAGTGATGCGTAACTAAAAGTGTGTTTATGACAGTTATGATGCGCTACA